TCAAAATGTAAATGCAGCCGATGTACACATTAGAATGGCACAGACAAAACGGCAGTTCGACGAAACGCCGCAGGAATATTATTACAGAATGTATGCTATTGGAAAACGGGGCAATATAAATGAATCATCCATAGCACGGCATATAGTCAACGGAATTAATGATCAAGGATTGAAGCAGAAAATATCTAACGAGTATATTACCTGTAATCAACTTTTGAGTGACATCAACGCATACTGTAGTTATAACGAGGTAAGAAGAGTGCTGAACCCGATATCGAATAAGACGAAACGTAGCAATGAAAATAGAACTGCCCCAGAAAGGAAAAGCGATGAAAGAGTGAATAAATTCAAATGTTTTAATTGTGGTAATACTGGTCACAAAGCCGTAGACTGCCCAGATCCACAGAAGAAGAATAGATGTACGATATGCAAACGGACTTCACACGGTGCAAGTGAATGTCCAACAAAAACCCTGAACACAAATGTCAACAATATAAGGGACAGCGTAAAGTCCAACGAAATACTATGTAAACGTGTCAAAGTAAAGGACAAGGAGTTTGAGGCATTTATTGATTCGGGAAGTGATCGGAGTCTGATCAGACGAAGTTTTGCAATGATAATTGGCGAAACGGAAAATTGCAGTATGGTTTTAAATGGCTTTGCTGGTGGCAAATACGAGTGCACAAAGGTGGTTAAAGTGCCAATTGACATTGATGAGACGAGTTACGACGTGAACCTTTATGTTGTGGAAAATTCTATGATCCCGAATGATGTTCTTTTAGGTCGAGATGTTTTATGCCAAAAAGGTCGACGCACCATTATTGAAGGAGATGAGTGTTGGATGCAAAACGTAAATGCGATTAGTATCAACGAAGGCTTAACATCTGAAGAGCATAAGAAGTTGCAGTTGAACATTCAAGAAAACCGACAATGTTTTTCAGAAAAGTCAAGCGAATTGGGTAAGTGTAACTTAGTGAAGATGGAAATCGAAGTTACTACTCCAGAACCAATACGATGCAAGCCATATCGACTAGCATTTGCCAAACGTCCTATTGTGGCAAATATTGTGAAAGACTTACTGGATAACGAAATCATAAGGAAATCGAATTCTCCGTATGCATCGGGAATTGTTTTGGTCGAGAAGAGAAATGGTGAACACCGTTTATGTATAGATTATAGACAGTTGAATCGAATAACCGTACGTATAGCGCATCCTATGCCTGTACTGGATGAACAGATTGCACAACTCGCCGGAAATCGTTATTTCACCACACTCGACTTACGTATGGGTTACCACCAAATTGAAGTAGAGGAAGAATCGAAAAAGTTCACAGCTTTCGTGACTTCAGATGGTCATTATGAATTCAACCGGATGCCATTTGGTTTGGTAAACGCACCTGCAGTTTTTCAGGCAACGATGAACCGAGTTATAAGCTTTATGAAACCAGGAGAAGTTTTAGCGTATCTGGATGACGTCATAATTCCCAGTAAAACAGTCGATGAAGGTCTGGACCGAATAAAAAGATTTTTGGATATCCTTAAGAAATGTGGTCTCACGTTACGATTGGCGAAATGTTCGTTCCTAGCCGAAAAGATTTCTTATTTGGGACACATAGTTACACGTGACGGAATTTTACCTGGAGAAGAAAAAGTAAAAGCGATTAGAAATTTTAAGGTACCAACGAATGTAACAGAAGTACGACGATTCCTTGGCCTAACTAACTTCTTCCGAAAATTTGTAAAGGATTATGCAGCCATTACGAAACCTCTTGCGATGTTGACACGAAAGAGCGAAGAGAATAAATTTCGTTGGGACGTACACCATGAAAACGCATTCAGAAGTTTAATCCAAATTTTGTGTAGTGAACCAGTTTTAGCAATCTACGATATGAAAGCAGATCACGAGGTGCACACGGACGCTAGCAGTCTCGGATTAGCAGGAGTGTTATTACAGTCCGATGGTAATGGTAATTGGCAACCAGTGTTTTATTTTAGCCGCCACTGTTCTGAAACGGAATCGAAATATCACAGTTACGAGCTGGAAGTTTTAGCTGTGGTTGAAACGGTGCAGCGTTTCCGTATATATTTACTTGGAAAGCCATTCCGAATCGTCACTGATTGTGCCGCAATTACTAATGTGAAGACAACGAAGGAATTACAACCTCGAGTAGCACGATGGCTGATGAAATTACTTGAATTTGATTGTGAGTATGTACACCGACAAGGGTCACGTATGGCTCACGTTGATGCTCTCAGCCGTTCACCGGATCAGCCACAGACGGAGATTGAACCAGCAGGGTTCATAATGAATATTGATAGCGATGATTGGATTCTCATGATGCAGCTAAACGACGACCACATAAAGAATATTATGAGAGTACTGCGAAATGAATTGAAATCTGAGCAAGAGAAACAGATAAAATCTGAATACTTATTGGAAAAACATCGACTATACCGGAAAACGAAAAATGGACTACGATTGGTCATACCGAAGGCTATACGATGGCGCATAGCTAAATACTGTCATGATGATATTGGCCATTACGGGTTGGAGAAAAGCCTCTCACGAGTCGAACAAACGTTTTGGTTCCCCCGCATGAGGAAATATATGAAGGAGTACATTGCAGCGTGTGTAGAGTGTTGCTACAACAAGGCAAAAGGTGGTAAACACGAAGGAGCTCTACATTTTAGTAATGTCGAACCGCTACCATTTAGGCAAGTACATATTGATCACTTGGGACCGTTTATAAGAAGCAAGCATGGTCATACACATATAGTGGCAATCGCCGATTCCTTTACGAAATTTGTGGTTATTAAAGCTGTAAGGAATACGAAGACATTGCCCGTCATCAACGTTTTAAATGAGGTTAGTGGATACTTTGGTTTACCTCGAAGAATAATTTCGGACCGTGGGACAGCTTTTACGTCAAAAATGTTTGAGGAATATTGCGATCGAAACAATATTCAACACATTAAGAATGCCGTTCGTACACCAAGAGCCAATGGACAAGTTGAGAGGGTCAATCAACTTATCCTGTCTTATTTACGAACTACCACTGAAGAACCGAAGGATTGGGACTCGGCACTTCACGTTTTACAATGGTCAATCAATTCAACCAAAAATTCGACAACAGGTTACAGTCCGAATGAGTTGATTTTCGATTACAAGCCCACCGACTTAATACAAAACCGATTGTTGGCAGCTGTACAAGATGATGTACAAAACGAAGAAATTTCCATCAACGAAAAACGTATCATGGCCGCAGAAAACATCAAAAGCGAACGAGAACGATGGAAGAAAAGATTTGACAGCAAGCATTCGAATCCGAAATTGTATGTGGAAGGTGACTTGATCCTTATACAGAATGAACCACCAGCGACAGGTGAATCCCGGAAGTTAGAACCTAAATACAAAGGTCCATACATAATAGCACGAGTATTGGGCAACGACAGGTACCTGATAGAGGACATTCCTGGAATAAACATCACGAATAGGAAATTCTGTTCCGTATTCAGTTCCGACAAGTTGAAGAAATGGTGTGAATGTTCCCCCGAATTGGATGTTTCAAGCGAAGATGAAGCCGAGGACGACTTCAGGTCAGGAAAGGCCGAGTTGTCAAGTTAAAAGTAGTAGTAGATACCTTTTGTTGCATACATGTGAAAATATACGATTACATGCAACCCGGATACAACCCTGAATTTTTAAAATGTAACGAAGTTGAAGATACGAAGCCAACCTGACAAGGCGTACTAGTTTAAGCTCGTATAATTGATTTTAATAAACGTTTGTGAATTCTTAATTTAATATAAAAACGGTCGTTGTATTTCATTTGAGTATACGGAAACCAACAGACTTCAATCGATCACTTGACACAATTTACAAAAAATCCCTTTTGAGCCATTAAAATTTGATCCCAACGAGCTATGCATTTTAAATAGTTAAATAGTATCTGCTTAAGGTTATCAACGATTTTTTTATAAAGCACATAGCCGGCTGAATACTAAACAAAAATGACAGAAGAACGACGACCCTCTAGAAATTCCCACATGGATTCCATGGCCGACAGTAGCGAGGGAGCAACAAAAAGCAACTCAAAATTAACTGAATTTTAACTCTACACCTCAGCTGTTGATTTGGGTCAGCCCGATGGCCAATTTACCAACTGTTTTATTTGGTTGATCGATTAGGAATATGTTTTATACGTGAGCGCAAACCGGCAGATCAACAGCATAGCAATAAGTGGCGCCCAACCAAATGTTCAATGTCGCACCATGTCATTTCGACATACAATCCATATTTATCCAGCAAAATTAAATCGAAGTTGTTCTAAAAAGAGTAGTGATTTCATTTGAATGCATTGACCGTTGATGCACTCCCTACAATTCTCACACAGTGGACCCTATAGTAAAAGAAGTATTTTAAACAAAGGTTACCTTTGGGTTCTAACATACAGAGGGCAACAAATGAAATCATACAACAACTTCCTATGTAAGCCCTTCCCAATGGTATTTATTTTTATACCCTCCAACTTTGAAAGCAGGGTATATTAAATTTGCCATTCCAGCAGAAATATAAAAATGGGTTAACACACTGGACTTGGAATAAAATAGTCATATCCGAATAACGGATATGACTTAAAGTAGAGAATTGAAATTTGGGATATTAGTTTGCTTTGTCTATGTTAGTCCATTGATTCCTATAGCACCCACATATTTTTGGGATCCCGGGTCCGCCCCCAAGAAAAAAATAGTTTCCCGGGATCAGGGTAAAAATACCTAGCTTTGGAAAAAATTTCGAAAAAATCGAAGAGTTTTTACTAAATTAGAGTTTAGCCTAGTTCTTTATTGAAAATGCGCTATTGGTGAAAACTTACTTCCGTCATGAGGAACATTTCCCAATTATCCCCTCACTACCACTTGTACGTTCAAGATACTAAACTCCTACCACCCACCCACACGTCCTAACAATCTAAGTAGACAACTTGAATGTGTAAACTCACCTGTTTAGATTGTATTTCTTCTAGTTATGCGCGAGTCTCGAAAAATAGCACCAACGAAGACCACTTTGTTGCCTTATTTTTTTTTCGTTTTCTTTTTAGGAATTCGTCAAGTTTGAAATATTATGTGTTTTATGTTTCTTCAATATCTGACGTTTCGCTGTTCCTTTTATTGAGAAGTAATTTTCTATCAATACATGCCCGGAGGAAAGAAACGCACAAACGTAACCACTATTCTTTTTACAAATTTGTCTTATTGCACCATCGATCAACGATTTAGGATTTATCACTTATCTGTGCCTGCTAAAGAGAAAAAGAATGAGAGAGTGAAAACAATAAACAAGGGAACATCGAGTTGCGGCGGGTGGTCAAATTGTCGTTCCTTTATCTATTTGTTTTCAGTTAGATAACGATGACGACGATGATGATGGCTAAAAAAAGATTGTGGTATGTATATGGAAAATTGTTGCTTTTTATTGGCGGCTTTCTTGTGAGTGGGGACGGGGTGGCAGAGTTTTGGAACGTTCTTCGTATACACACTTTTCATTATGTTATAATTTAATTAACTTAACAGTGAGATTTGGCAAGCACACCCTTTCTGCATTTGTTTTTGATTTTCTTTATTCACGCCGACGGTCTATCGTTCTGCTATTGCACAATAAGTAACTGTGTTAACTGTTAAATACAAGTTTTATTTCAGTAGTGATATCCGTTCGCACAAACATATGTATGTCAATATTGGAAAAGCAAAAGAACACACACGCACAACACACGTAGTCGTCGTCGACCACCTCTTCATATCATATTCACCACAACCACCCACATATTTTTTTAGTTGGAACACAATTAAAAATAATGAAACGAACGCAGTCTTAAAATTGGAATTGTAAAAATTGAAATTATTAGCTACGGTCTCCGTGACCAAAAACAAGGGGAAGCAACGGCAAAAAGCAAACACACACAACGCTGGTCAGTCGGCCTTATATGTTCATCAATTTTCAATTACAGTTGGTCGATATTGCGATATTGATTGTTACAGCTTTTTTCCTTATTTTTGGTAGAGACAAGCGTTTCACTAGCTGTAGGTACACACTTTTTTCCTCTACACGCCGAGCGATTTTTCAATTAAAACGAATTAAACAGCCTTTCTATGGCATTCATAAAAAATGGTCAGATATTTTTAACGACTACTTAGTACAATCCTATTAAATTATATTTAAAAAATTACTTTTCTCGTGAAGTATAGGCCGAAAGTCCTCGACAACTTAAATGTTACTTCTCACACAAGGGATCTATAAGCGATTTTCATTTTATCGAATTTTAATCAGCGAATAGGGTTCTCTAAATCATTTGTTTAGAAATTTACTCCATCTTATGCTATGTTCTCATTGCACTTTTAATCACGTTGCTCGCTCTGAAAATTAGGCACACGAATTAACCCGTTCATACGGCACGATTCGTAATTCATAGTAACACAATACCTTTTTTCAAATTTTTTGATTGTTTAATTTTATAAGAATTTGTACGAAAGTACATGAAATTAGCATTAATAATAATAGAATAAATAATTGTTTTTCCTCTAAAAATTTATTTTATCTTTCATTTAACAATTTTCATGCATGTTTTGAATTTTTTGTATAAATGTTGACATTTGACAAATATTTTTGTATTTTTCTGTTTTTAAATTCGGTTGAAGAGTCACTAGTCAAAAAACTTTTTGTCGGTACAAAAATGTTGAAAATATTGCCTCCTTTGTTTCTAATTTTCTGTCGGAATTCCATCTCGTGGTAAAAAAGCGTACCTCGGATGAGAGAGAAAACAAAATGTACTTTCGTTGGAATGCACATATGCAATTCTATATTATATATTTCATTCATAATATTCAGTCTTCCTGAAAATTTTTAAAACCAATAAATTTTTTGTTTTGAATTTTGAAATATCATAATCTATTTTTTCGATATATGTTCTCATTTGTTAGGAATGGTACAAATTTCATGTTAGTTCTGTAAGTGATTGAATGGAATAAAGAACAAATATCTTTGTACGCTGGGTACACTCTGGCATTCCGACGACGTTGCTATTTGTAATTTGGATTCAACGAAGCAGGATATTTGAATCTATTGCACCCTTTTCGCTTTTATATTCTTTTTCTCAATGTGTTGTTTGTTGCATTTTTATCAAGAAACATCAAAATATAATTATAATTTTTTCAAATCAGTTGATTGGTTGACATAAAAACACAACAAAAATTGTGTATTTCATAAAAATTAAAGAAGAAAATATGTTACGATTTTGCAACATTGTTCTCCACTAATCAATTACAATTCAAAAAAAAATTCACCGTAACCTCGTTTTCAGATTAAATTTTGTATGTTCTGGAACAGAGCATATGTAATTTTGGTTAAAGTTTAAATATAAAAAAGGAAACAAGAAGCAGGAACCTGCTATTACAGTCGATGTTTGCTTTTTGATTCTTTTTCCGATCTCTTTCTTTTCGATACTATTTCCTTACGATATAACATATAATCGATTTTGATAACAGTAACTATCGTCCGTTTTCCATATCTAATAAAAAAATTAATGTAAATATATCTCTAAAAGTTAGAAGGCACGGGGAAGATATTTTTGTGAAATTCCCAACTTCAAATCACCAAACTTGAAAGTTGGAATAGCAGATCAAGAGAAAATCACTTCTTCCGTCTCGGTGTATTCATATTTACACATTGAACAGGCTATTGAAAGGGAAAGTCCAAATGCTGAAGAGTTGAAGAGAGACCATCATCATCTTGCAATAGTCGTATAGTAAAATTCCATATTGGCTCATGCATACATGTATATTGTATCTGAAATCTACTTAAAAAAGTACAAACATCGTTAATAAACTGCCGCCATTAACATCGAGAGGTCGGTCGGCGGAGGAGTTGTCGGGGCCACACAAGAAGTAAACAAATAGAACTCGCTAGGATTCCAGGATTTCGGCGTCCAAGGATCGGACATGAGCAACTATGAAAGGAAGAAGGCCACGCCCTGTGCTGGTTGCATGAAAGCCATTAAGTGGATTCCTGTTATCTTCATAGCGTCTGTTATAGCGTGGTCTTATTATGCCTATGTCGTTGAGCTATGTGTTCGTAAGTGTTACTCACTCAAGAAATACTTGATTCCTCTACAATGTCCCTTTACTATTACTAATGATATGACCTAACTTCCCTCCAAATCATAAACTAGAACACTTCCAAATGCGTACAGTAGAATGTAAATAAATCGATGACCCAACTGTCCATTGCACAACGCACATCTCATTCAAAATCAACACAAATTATCCATGCGCTATGACTAATAGCAGGGTTAAATACTTTTTTAAAGATAACACAATTTCATTCTCTCACACCGCCAAAAGTTCAATTGTTACCTTCAGAACGTTTATTTTAATATTCCAATACGTATGTTTAACACATTTCCTAATGTGGAGCAACAATAATTTTTATTAGATACGCATTAAGTATTGGTATTGAAACTTATACCATTATATAGTACAGACAAAACTAGTATGGCAAGTCTAACATACCATAATGTGAGGACTGCCAATTCATATTGACAAATTTCATTATCAACAAAAAAATCGTCCAGGATAGCTCCAACGACTTCAATAGAAAGTTCTTGTACTTTAACTTAATGTCATGCAAGTACCTTTTTCACGTGCATACATTAATGCTGTTCTACTTTACATTCTCGTTTCAGTGTCCATAGAGAGTATTTTTGAAAAAGTTATATTTTTATTATTCTATCACATTATATCGCTGCTTTTCTTTTGGTCTTATTGGAATACTGTGTTCACACCAGTTGGCACTGTGCCCTCAAATGTAAGTATATATTCTCCAAGTCGTGTCTAATATTTCTTTGAAATAATGATTCTTGGTTGTCATAGTGGCGAATACCAGAAGCGGAAATTGAAAGACTTTTTAGAGCAGAAAATCAAGAACAACAAAAACGAGTATTGGAGTACTGTGCACGAGATTTGCCCGTAACAAATCGGTAAATATTTCCTTTGCCACTTGATGTTTGCAGCACTAAATGCACGAAACTTTCTCTTTTTTTCCAATAGCACTCTAAATGGATCTGTCCGATTTTGTGACAAATGCCGGATAATCAAGCCCGATCGATGCCATCATTGCAGTGTTTGCGGGACTTGTGTTCTGAAGATGGACCACCACTGTCCATGGGTTAATAATTGCGTCAATTTCACTAATTATAAATTCTTTGTCCTCTTTCTGGGCTATGCATTATTATACTGCCTATACGTAGCCCTAACATCATTGGAATATTTTATACGTTTTTGGAAGGTAAGCTGGAATTAATTGGCATACCATGTAATAAGAGCAAGTCGAATCTATTTCACAGGGTGAACTGTCCTCTGGTGGTATGGGTCGTTTTCACATCCTTTTCCTGTTCTTTGTATCTGTGATGTTTGCCATTAGTTTGGTTAGCCTGTTCGGTTACCATATTTACCTTGTTCTAATGAACAGAACTACACTCGGTGAGTATGGCAATTAACGAAAGTTTATTGGATACTAACTTGACAAATGCTCCTTGACCATAACAGAGGCATTTCGCGCACCTATATTTCGGGTTGGTGGTGCTGACAAGAATGGCTTCAATTTGGGCAAACTCGCCAACTTTCAGGAAGTTTTTGGTGACAATTGGAAGCTTTGGTTCATTCCCGTCTATTCGAGGTGAGTGCTTATCATATTTATTTGTGTGCGTGTGTATATGTATGTATTTGTTCCTTTGGATGGCTTAGTTTTTTTTTTTTTGATTTTCTGTAACTATTAACACTGGGTTTTGGCAAATTAAAAACATTTACGAAATTTTTGCAAAACTCAAATAATTGAAATATTCCGCTAGCAATTAACCCGAATGTGTACTGCTAAAAAAATCGAAGCAAAAACTTAACCACTGAGAAGGTATTAACAATCAGGAAACAAATATTTGGTTGACTGTGAACTAATAAAACCTGTACATAATGTTATATGCAACGCGCTATTCATTAATAACAGCGCCGACACCTATCCGAATGAATATTTATCTACATTTTTCTCATCTGTTCCTCATAGTGATGGTGATGGTCTACAGTACCCGACTGCAGCAAATCACCATCATCATCAACAGCCTGAACTGTCACCAAATCCGGTCTCGTACCATTCAATGGATGAAACACGAGTCAGAGAAGTGCAACCGGCAGATGCCTCAGATAAACTGATCCATTACGAGATAAATCCTCAAACCGAGGGGCAAAATTGTGCAGGGCACCGTCCAGACCATGTCCATGAAAACGACACAGCGATACCCGTTGCAAACGGCAGTATCATTATCGATATGGAAAACAATCAAACGGCAATGTTCAAGTCTGAAGGGAATGAGGTTGATGTCCATAAAATGGCATGATAGAGAGTACCCAGTATCTTTGGTTTTTTTACTTTTATAACTATTAATACTACTAATTAGAGTATTCATTTCTACTATAGAATAAAATGCATATTTATCTCTAAGCTCAAACGTTAGATGTAATAATTTTTATTTCTAGTTGTGATTCTCGAGAAATCTTTAGTTTTGTTTTGCATTTAAAGTCTAGTACATAAGTCATTGTAATTTTATTTTCGATGCAAACAATGTAGTCCGCACTTAATGGTTGCAGGGCTTTCGTTAACCTAAATAAATGATTTTTCTTTCCTACTAAGGAGTTGGAATGTTTTTAATTTGCCAACAAAAACACAACTGTTTGCATGTCCCGCGCGTGATCCGTAAATTATTTCTTATATTTCCAGTTTCGGCGATGGCTTCAGCTACCCAATGCGAAACTTGGAGGAGGATGCCGAATCACTTCTTGGCCATTCGGACACTCGCATCGAAATGGAGGAGGATGTGTTTCCGGAAACACGTTTCCACGATAGCATAATACCATAGTTAATACTAACGGAAGATAACGTGGCCACTTACTACATTTAGTCGAAATTGTTGTGGTATCAAGATCCCATTTTGGAATATGTGTATGGGAGCAGTTATTATTGAACTTTCTGTAAGATACATCTTCTGAAAAATAGCGTTAAAACAGTTCCTCCCATCCACAAAACATAAAAATGACAATTTTTTTCCATGACTACCCATGACTGCCCGTTTGCGTCGTTTCATTCCCACACGCTCACTTCTAGGATGGAATTCAATGTACCGGTTTTTCTTATAGAAAAACTTTTACGATTCGTTTGTTGTAGTAATTGTGTAAATGTATAAGCAGATCAAACTACTAGATGGCATTCGAAGAGAAACAAATAGGCTTAATTAAAGACAAACCATCTTTGTATGTATTAATTAGATTTGTTATATGTTGTGTAGTGGAGAACTTTGTGTGGTATGCCAGTGTTGTTTTTTGGCAAAAGCTGTTCAAAAGGATAAACTGCGCACTAACTTAATGCGGATATTTGCAGAAACTCCAGCTTTTCCAAAATTTAACCGCAGCTGGGAAGATGGCGAATAGACGTAAGTTTCGACTATGTATGTACATATAATTTGGTATAAGGCAATTTAAGTATTCAATATTGTAATAAGTGTAAATAAAGAACAATTGTAGAATGTTACTTTTTTGATAGGAACGAAGCGATTATTCGTACGCATTTATGCCATAGGTTTAAGAAAACTTGGTTCGTAATCCATGAAATCTTTGTTATTTGTTATTGGTGATCAAAGATATGGGCATGAAATCGTGTTAATTAGAACAATTGTCATTTGAGTAAATTTAAGAAAAAAAATATATATATATATATCGAAAAATACACGAAAAACGTATAATTCATACATTAACAACTATTCCATTTCCTGAATGATTTCGCACCTCAAACCACAAAAAGGCTTTCAAACACTAAAGGTCACAAACCGAAGGACGATTACTTTACTGTACTTTGACTGTCTACCGATGGCTATACCTAAATATTATTTTATTTATTCAGAACAAGCCATATTATTTTATACTAATAAAAACCAATAAAAATTCAATGGAATAATTTAAATGCATTTTGCGTCTATTTGCGTCTATATGTTGTACAGTTTTGCCTTTTTTGTTACGATTTGATAAAAACTCAAATTAAATCATTCTGAGGATTTGTTTCATCAGCAGATATCACAGCGCCATAGAAGCATTACCATATTTGATAGATTAATTTAGAAAATATCGGTTTACACTTGGTAAACAAATCGACGGAATCAGTGTTGGACCTTATTTGGTTTTTAGTATATCTCAATGATGTGATTTTGAGTCTGGAGAATAGCTTTTGTCAACCCTATATCTAAGCCCATGATATTTGTTTATGTTTAAATTCGATGACACTCAAAATGTTATTAATTATTCCCAGAGTTTTGTTGGTAAGTTGATGGCCGCTAATAATTTTACTATAAAGCCATCTAAACAAAGCAAGCTATACGAATTTGACAATAGGATTGCTTTAGAGTCAAATCAGCTGGGGTTTGCTGCTACCTGTAAGAATTATACCATGGGGTGCGTATAATTATACCTTCAGCCATATGGCTAGAGAGGGTATATATAATTTGATATGGTCAAAACCTGTCCGTCTGTCTGGCTGGCTGGCTGCAGCGCACTATTACTCTCGAAGGGTATCCTATTTGGTCCAAACTTGATACATCGCAATATTTTTGTCCAACTTAGATCGAGTACGGTTATGGGCAATATCGGTCCACTCCTTCCGGTATCTCCCCCACAATAGGTCGAAATTTTCAAAAAAAAATATATTTTCTCCACAGAAAGAGAAACGATAATCCGATTTTGCTCTAACTTTGCAAATCCTAATATTGTCGTCAGTGCTAGGACAGGTACGAAAATGGACAATATCGGTTCAGTCCATCAAGTACCTCCCCCACAAAGGGTCAAAATTTTGAATAATTACAACTCTTATAAAATTTGATGTAAGAGTCCGATTGTCTTCAAATTTCACACTTCCCAATCATTTTATTAACCCAAGGTCTGGAACCAAGATGGAATACATCGGTCCACTTCTTCTGGTACCTCCCCCACAAAAGATCGAAATTTACAAAAAAAAAGATATTTTCTGTACACAATGCGTCAAAGTTTTGAATAACCAAAACGTTTATAAAATCCGAAATAAGCATCTGGTTCTCTTTATATTTCACACATCCCATTATTTCCACTAACGAAAGATATGTTGTGAAGATGGAATATATCGGTCCACTCCTTCTGGTACCTCCCCCCACAAAAGCTCAAAATTTTGAATATCCATGAAGCTCATAAAAAGTGAAATTAACATCTGATTCCATTCAAGACTTGGTACATCTCATTATTTCGATCAACACAAGAGATGTTATAAAGATGGTAGAGATCGGACCATTTCTTTTGCTAAGCATTCAACGAAATGGCCAATATTGATCCATTCCTTCGGAACTAACTCCATAAGGGGTTAAACACTTGAATAAACATAACAGAAGTTAAAATATTTTTAAATAATCGTGTATTGACTGAGGGTATACATCTATCGGCAAAATCGACAGATACTTTTTAACTTGTTTTTAATTGTTTTCAAAATATTCAAATTCGGATTCGCATTTTGTGGCGATATAAATCTTTCTTTTAACAAAAAAAAAACTTCCTTTCCTTTAGTTTTTGCGTTTTTTGTTTGTTTATTCAAAAAATCAAATAAACAAAACAAGATTAGTTTCGATAGTAGTTCTGACATTACATTATGGTATAATAAGAAGATAGAACAGCTTAGTATAAAATTATAGTGACGCTACGCTCACTTCCTGTCAGAATTATTCAAAATAAAATTAAAACAAGCTGTTTTAATTTTTTTTCATTGTTCAAAACATTAAATGCACGCACAAACTTGGCAGAAGTCTGGTATACTTAGGAAATAAATTAATCAGCTGGTAGCTCTTACTCACATTGTTTTGTTTTGTTGTTCTGTTTCGTTAATATTTTTAATTATGCTATCTAAAGTTTGTGTCGCACAGAATGAAAAGTCAAGATTTCTTCATGTTCTATACGTCCAAATAAATATATGGGTGTTTGTCTCTCTTCCGCTTGCAAGTGAAAACGACAATTCTCTTTTTCCATTCATCGTAGTTCTTTATTAACACATTACACACTTACTTTATGTGTTCCGTAATAGGATTTTGTTTCAATTTCTTTATAATGTAAATGTAAAAGATATTTATTCAAACGATGCACTGTAGTCCTTTGTCCACTTTGGTTCTAGCCTAGCGAACTGTTCTGTGCTTACATCAAATATTAAATGTTTGCTGGTTTGGTGCAAATTTGAGTGACTACACACACAATCACTGATCATTTGGTGGGCATTAATGCAACAAATGGCAAATACTTTTATGCCATTATATCAACAGAAATGTTAGGAAGTACATATGTATGTTGTTAATGTAAAAAAACACAACAATAAATAAATTACAATCAGATTAGAAGACTTGGAGTGATGATAAAAAGCATCTAACATATGTATGTATGTATGTATATAGTTTGGTGGAAGACCTAAAATAAGAAAAATAAGTTCTTACGTACACTAGTTTTGTATCAATAATTTGGAACAAAATAAATACCTCATACATACTACTCAATCTTGTTGTCAGATTTTTTTTTAGAAATGTGCATTCTCTTATTACCTGCCTTGGCTCAAGTAGTTATGGCAAGTTGTTAAATATATATATTTCTCTCTATGTACAATCAATTAATATCATTTTCTGTGTGTATGTGTGTGTGTGTGCATTGTGTGTACAAAGTATAAGGTGAGAGATTTCATGTTAATCCATATTTTCACAGTTTAAACATTCAAATGTAAACATAAATAGAAACAGTCCTAACGCTTTCGTAATTTATTCTTTGGATATCATTCAAAACAAATCAGAAAATCGGTTTTCACTTTCGCCTTCACTCACAAGTCCTTATTCACACGTTGAAAGTTACCTACAAAACATTACTTTTCTTTCCGGCAAACTTTGCACGTCTTAATATCGACATTCATAAACAGTTGTCCCCGTTTGTTGATATCTGCTTATTTTGAATGATTTATTTTTTTGAACATCTCTGGTTTTTGGATATAATAATAATTTCAAAAAATAATAATAATTAGGGGAAAAAGGATGGTTTCTTTTTTAGGATGACAAGTGAATGAGGGATTAATGTATGTATGGTTTATGGACAATTATAGTTAGTGATGCAGTGTAGAATGGGTATTTTATTAAATAGGAACAGTTTAACCTTTTGGGTATGCCTGTGCGCCTTGTTGGAAAACATGTGCCAATGTGCATAGGTGTATTCAGAACATATATGTAAGAGACGGAAGATGATGATGATGATGACAATAACAATGATACAATTTGAGCGTGTTGAGTGCTTTACATTTTACGCATATATTGGATATTGAGTCGAATGAGCATCGAACTGTGTTAAATGTATATTTTAGATATATGTTCGCATCTGTTGCCAAAGCTTTCGTTAGGTCGTTGATCCTTGTGGCCAGAGATCATTTCTATAGCTACTATTTTGCATGTCCATTGCTGAGGACTGCAGGCAACACATTGGCCTGTTGTACGACGGCGTTGATGACTTCAATTTCTTTCTTTAAGAACGCAGAACCCTCCTCTGTTTGGGGCTTGCACGTGGCTCCGGCCACAACATCACTCATTGTAGAAGCCAGAGATGTACGTTTTCGAAGACCGCTGGGAATCGAGTCCCGCATTAGGTCCTTCTTGAACTCAACGATGCCCGTTACTGTTTCGGTAACTGTTTTGTCTATGAATTCTTCGATATTCTTTGTCTCTGCTTCAATCTTTTCCATTAACTTGCTCGAAAGCTGATCCATTTCGCACTGATCGTGTGGAACGGAAATGGCTTCCCTGGCTGGGGCAACAATGGGTAGCTGTGGTGGTTTAATAATCTCGTCGCGTTGAGGTAAAGCATTTGTTTCATCTGGCATGAGCTGGATAGGTTTCAACAGTTGACGCGCCTCTTCCAACTGATTGGATTTACATTCCTGATCGTTTCTTGCCTCTCTGAGAGCATCCTCGACCTTGGAAGGAGCAACGATCTTGGAGACATTATGTGTCGGATGTGTAGATCTTCTCTCGCCGCGTATGAACTTCGGCAGGACGTAAATAGTGGTGAGTGCAACTATGTGAAGGCACAAATAAAACTTCAGGTACAATTGAATACTGCCCTGTTGGTGGTAAAATGTAAAATAGATCACTCGACTTTCTCGTCAGGCAAGAAGCAAGAACTTACCATGAATTCAAGCAGAACGAATGGGAATGTTGTATAGCCCATAACTATACGCGTCGTTAGGCAAGTGAGAATGTCGTAGAACATGCGTGTCATTCGCGTTTGCTGGAAACGGTGGCGGAACATGCGGCGAGCCTGCAACGAAGGTAGAAGCTTGTCATTTAAATGTCTCCGGATAAAATTTAGCGAGTGAAATAGACCAAAAATGTTGTGTGAAAAATGCAAAATTTCCGATTCAACCATAAATATTTTTAAGACGGAGAGCCACTTCCCGCCGGAATCATAAATACATGTAAAGGACATCTCCGACCTTTACATTAAGGCTGATTCCGTTGGTAAATATAGTCAGTAATTGGAGATATATCAAAATATTTAGAGAAATTAAGAGGACGAACTTACCATTCGTGCAGAAGTCACCATTAAAGCACCAGTCGCAAATGTCAGGTAATATCCTGGATAGAAACCATGCCACACCGCACTCAAGGCAAACGTCAAAATGGTTCCGTATTTCTTTGGCACGCGTTCATAAACGATGGTGCGCAGCCATCGGTTCGTGCCGCAATTCCAATTGTTGATTGCATCGCGGATATTCGTTGCAAACTGAAAGCCACACGTGAACAGATGTTTCCAAGTTATACGACAGTTAAGCCACAAATAGCCCATAATGTACTCACTTCAAAGCCAAACACATTTATATTAGAAATGAGATCCCAGTTGGCGTTGCCATCTTTGTCGTAGCCCGTAAAACCTAATCCTGAGTTATTTGCTATTGCATCGGCCAACAACCATGCATGATAATACTTAAAACGAGTAGTTGTGGTAGCCATCATGGCATACCAGATCTTGTATAGAACCGTAGTGTTATCAACAAAGTCGTCGTCCTTAAGGTTTTTGATGGGATACAATTGGACAAACTTCATGAAAATGAAAGCGCATATGAAGCTGCCGATAACTTTCTTGACTACCGTTTTCACTGGCGACGGCTCCAGGACCACCTGTGACTTTCCCTTATCAGCTGACGTCTGAAATAAATAATATTTGACATTTTAGTACCGTCATTTGTTGGGGCTGTCGTCAAAAATCGCACTCACATTCACAGCCGGCCGTAGATTGTAGCCTTCGATAAAATCGATATAGTCCTTGTAGAAAACCAATGGCCCAGCCATTAATCCTTGGAAGTTCAAGACATATGAGAAATACTCCAAAGCAGAGGGTAATTTATTAACGGCATGGTATTGTTGTGCCTTGGTCAAATCCTATGGATAACAGATGGGTCAAACAAACTTTAAAGCTAATCGAATCGTGAAATGTTGTACCTTGGTTTGTCGTACAAAGCCATCGTGTATGCTAAATGCCAAACTAGTAACTTTTTGTGTAATGATCATCAGGGGACCGGTTATATCCAGGGAGCATGAGCCGTCGTCATAAATTTGTCGTAACACATGTATGGTTAGTAAATACGCCATGGCCACGACCATGACGGTCCTGCAAACACAAATCCATGTTCAATTGCGAGCGTACTACAAGGATGTTCAGTGGTCATCTTACCTTTGGACAACTTTTGGGCTCTGTGTTCGAATGGCAACGTAACATGCTGACGGAAGACCAGCGATGTGTATGGCTTGTGGTCCGAAACAAAAATATCCAAACACCAAGCCAATGCTAAGTGCAACGATGTGTCGGACGTTGGAAGATACCTTGGAGGGATGAAGCACCGATCGATAGAGGGATGCCAAAAAGATTGCAGATATTTGGCATATTAAGAAGTTGACCTGCAAAAGGGAAACAAAAAGATGTTGAGCAAAGTATTAAGTCAAGATGCTCGTTATTTTCGACTGGAAACAATTTTATATAGAGCTGCGAGGAACTCTGATCTGTAATAAAATAAATCAAATTCGTTTTTGTGTTTGAACTGGATTGAGTTTAATGTTTATACTAATACAATATCAGAAAAAAATAAGACAACAGAAAACAATATCATTCAAATAGTTATTCATGTATATGGACATTATAAGATGGACCACTTCATTGTTGCTTTGATTCAATAGATGGCGTTGTTAGTAGAAAAATATGTTTTGTCACCATATCGTGATATAGCATTATGTTGCAATTTAATAGAGCTGACACTTTTATGGGGTTTTCGCTGATTGCTATCGATTCAATGTAAAAGGAAATGCTGTGGAAAAGACTGTTGAGACCATGTTTACCATATCTGATGCTTATCGTCGCGGTTTTCCCCCATAACAGATTTCTGTAATATTTCCAATGCATTTTTTGCATTTTGTCCAATCCTTACAATTGTATATGTGTGAAAATACTTATTTATGATGCACAAATTTTTCTAGCCAAGGCAAGACTAAATTCAGTGAAACTTGTATGGAATACAAATTAGAGCTCATTTTTTGGTTTTTCTGCACATTTTGTCATGTGTATAAGACAGCGCTAGGGCAGCGCCTCTAGACATTTTCCAATCAACCATTTTTATACCCTACACCACAAGGTGGTCAGGGTATTATGTCTTTGTGAATTTGTTTGTAACATGGAGAAGGAAGCGAGATAGACCCATAGTTGCTTTTGAAGATCTCCATAGAATCACTTTCTGAGTTGATTTATGCATGTCAGTCCGTCTGCCCATGTATTCTTGTGAACAAAATGCAGGTAGCATTTATTATTCGATTGACATGAAATTTTCTAAATAACATTTGTTTGGCCCAAGGACGAATCCTATTGGAATTGGAGATAATCGGTCAAAATTTAGATATAGCTCCCATATATATCTTCGTACGATTTGCCTTTTATTGTGCACCAAACGTGCAATATCAGCCCAAATAGTAGGGAATTTTGCACATAAACCAAATCAGACCTGAAAATAAGTATGCCAAATTTTATCGAAATCGCTTCAGATATAGCTATAGCTCCCATACATACTTTTCATCCGATTTGTTATTTTTGTCCTCCGCAGCCGTAATATACACTCTGTAACAACAATATTTGGGGAAACATATCAAATACAGCTCAGAAATACATTTTCTAAATTTTATCGAGATCGGTTCAGATTTGGATATAGCTCCCATATATAACTTTGTCCGATTTACATTTTATTGTGCACCAAACGTCTAATATTTGCCCAAATGGGATGGAATTTGGCACATACGACCGAATTAGTCTAGAAGCTAATATGCCAAATTTGGTGAAGATCGGTTCAGATATAGCTATAGCTCCCATATATATTGTTCATCCGATTTGTTGTATTTGTTACCCACAGCCCTAATATGCACTCCATAACAACGATATTCAGGGAAATATATCAAGTACAGCTCAAAAATATTTTTGCCAAATTTTATCGAGATCGGTTCAGATTTGAATATAGCTTCCATATATATATATTTTGCCGATTTCAAATTAATTTTGCACCAAATGGGCAATACAAGTCCGAATTAAAAAGATACAAATGATACTGCATATTTAGTCCTTTGAACTTTAAATTATAATAATAATCATAACGTGTATGATTGAATTCTCCCATAAGAACTTTTAATTGTTATGTGGAGCTCTACTAAATTAGCAAAGTGGTGTAGGGTATCACACCACTCGACTTTAGGACTTTCTTTACTGGTTTTATAATGCATTATATCAAAATCTTTACACTTTTATGTCTCTGTTAAACCGCCCGCCCTCAGAAGTGTAAGGTTGGTCGGCGAATGTAATTATTTGCTTTAAATGTATATTATTTAAAGCAGATAATTACATTCGTTCAAATGTTTATCACCGCCGCTCCAATGTTGACAAGTGACCCTGGCAGATTTTTCCAATTTAGAAAAAGAAAACAAAGCAAAAATTCCAAGATAACGACCAAAATGATAATTTCTTCTGTTATGTCGTATAGCGAATTGATAATGCAGAAACGCTTTCTTAATACATTTGTGTGCGTGTGATTACAGGGAACAAAACGAAGATCCAATATACGCAGTATTGAAAAACGTTTCGAAATAGATTTTCAACAACTTTTATTTTAATTGAGATCACATCCGTAAAATACGAAACAAGTCCAAAAAGTTATCTTTAGATCGATTGGTAAATCAACCAAATCATAGCGTAACAATCGAATGATTTCTATGTAGGCTGTGTAAAGCAATAGCTAGATCATAAGAGCAATGTGCAGGTTGACGATTATAACGCCAGCGAAGCGAGAAATTATAGATAAAAAACGTATGATCGGTCGAAAAGTGCTTGTTTTTCTATATCTATAGATAATGAAAACATTTCACAACAATGACTAAACATTGTCAAATTTATATGAATACAAAAATAATATTGACTCACACCCCACACCCTCTGCATAGGGGTGGTGACTATTAATTCTTTTTTAATGCTCATTTTAATGATCTATTGAAAATCGAAGCAAAAACGGAAGGTTTCCAGTAAAATGCTCGATAACTTTTCTTTTCTTTCAAATGTGTTTTATTTGTTTCCGGGGAAAAAATTACTATTAATATGACGGCGTTGTCATTTTTTAGTATTGATATTTGTTTGTATCAGCGTTACCTAAAATTCGACATACTCGGTCGACGTTTTTCACCACACAAGTAAAACACATATATTTATATGAGAGCTACCCATATAAATATACGTTGGGCGTACAAAATTTCAAGCTTCAACATTTTTAACTTTGACAATTGAAACAATTCAATTCTGTAGATTTAATTAAATCTGCTGCTCCAAATAGTGGATTTTTCAAATCATTTAGACCTTAAAATTATTATTTTTGAAATGTTTATCTCAAAGTTTTTAAGGATACGTACATCAATAAAAGTCCATGCCGAATATTACACAGGTTCTTTCTATCTTAAATTTGTTTGTATGAGTGTAAAAATGATACGTTTGCTTTTTTAAGTTATGAATAATTTTGAATAGGGAACAGAATTTCAAAACTATTCTCCTCCATCTTAGAACCCTTTGAAAAGATCTGAAGAATAATATCACAATTTGTAAGAATAATGATTATGACTGAGTCGACACCTACAAATGTTATCTAATGTTGTCAAATACGATCTGATAAAGATCTTAAACGATTATCTGGGTGATACATTTACACTTAACAGGATAGAGAAGAAATCTTAAAATTGGTGAATGGTTGCAAGAAAACATTTACATGAACTAGATTTGTACTAACTGCCTGTTGCTGCTTTTGATAAAGAGAATCAATGCGGTTATTTGTATATATGTTACTCATGACTGCACTCTTGAATGCATTACTGCAGATTTTTAGTAGTAAGTTAAGGAAGGTATTGACCTTTGCTTGCCGTTTACAAACTATACAACACCTAAAATTTGGTTTGATTTTTATAACTTTTTCCAAAAATTTCCATTTTAATAAATATTTTAATTTTTTTTTTTTTTTTTCGAACTACAACATTTTATTTGACATATCAAGTTGCCTACAGCTAACCTCATAGGTCTACCTTGTAATACAAACACGGTTTCATTCAATATTTACTTTATGCTTATCTCTACTCCTTCTCTTCTTTGCTGTTTTTTTTTTCGTGGACTTGCGACATTCGTTGAGGATCGGTTTTGTAAGTGGGACATGTCATATTTTATTTGGGTTTCTTTTATAATATTTATTTGGGCGTAATGAATGCTGTTAGCTAATATAAGATATTGACCATAGTTGCAGTTTGTATTACTTCGTATAAATAAACGAAAATGAATGACATATTTTTAATGCAGTACAAGTAGCTACCGTGCCATGTAATTCCTTCCGCCGGCATGATAAGCTGGTCATCAAGATAATTCTTGGCGAACATATCAGTAGAAGGTGTCTAGATTTCAACTCCTTCAAAGCTATCGTGGATTTTGATATAATCATGTCCATATTGAATGTTTTTAAATTAATTGTAGGCGAGAAAGGCTGCAGAGGGAAACGTTCGTCTTAAAAAGTGGTGTAGATATCTGTTCTATACGCCTGGGGGTTTTAATACTTCATTAACATAGTATTTCAGAACAATTTTTGATGAAATACGTAGAGACGGAAATATTTCCATTTAGTCCCACTGGTAATTTTGTGCAATTTTTTTGTTAATAGTTTTTGTTTAATAATAATGCCATTGTGAATGATCTACCAGCTATCAAACTTATCCTTCTAACATTATACCTTATTACATTCATTTAGCTTGTTGTTGGTCAGCAAGTACTGTTGTTAACTTTCCTCGGCTAGCCATCGTTATCTCTACAAATATTTGATGGACATTTCATCTCTTAAATATAAAAACGCAATTTCACAGAGAATATCGTCAATCTCTTTGGTGCATGCACCCGTTGCATGTTACCTATTGTAATTGCTTTTCTTAGAACGCACACATTTCTCGTGTTAATTTTATTTTGGCAATGAATAACGACACCGTGGGCATAGAAAGACATCAGTAGTCACGTGAAAGGCAACTATGCAATATTTTACATATCGCATGAATAAACCTTTGCCAAGGCCACTGCCAGAGTATTGATATTAGGATGTGCCCTAATTATTTTTCAGGGTTTTGTAGGCAAACACCGCACACCCAACTGAAACCCAGCTAGAATCTTCAAACCAAGTCTTCCACTCAAATCTGAAGAAAAGCAGAGAAGAGAGAATTCTGCAGTTGGTTCAACAAGGGATCACGTTTAGGTAGTGAAAAATTTAAAATGATATTTCAACTTGCCAAAGAAAAGTTAAACTAACCACCAAATAAGGATATTCAAGCTCCTCCAAATTAATCAGTATAAATCAAATTTTTTTCACAACAACTTCAATATAACGGAGTCCGTTATTTAAAGAAGAAGTTTTCTTCAATGACACCAAATAATATCCTCAATATAATATAATAAACCTCGGCAGAATTTACCACTACGAGTCTTTTTTTTTTTTTTTTTGATATAGACAGTTGGAATATTGTCGTTGAAAATACTAAAAGTTTTTCAATACTAGGGATTTTCAAGAACAGTTTAGACATATTGCATACAAATAAGAAGCCTATCATTTTTGTGGCTCGATAAATCCTAATTTATTCAGACAACTTATGCTCTCTTCCAGTACCTGCAAGAATCTATTAGTTTTGTAATTTTCTTCGATATCAAAAAGGGAAAATCGGTTATCGTAGTAAAAACTTTTACATTATTGCAGTTCTGGAATAACACATTAGTTTAAAAAAGTGTAAGTGACACACCGTGAACTGATTCACCTCTGTTACAGATCAACGTTCAAACCACACACACGTATCAAGCATGTCAACGAATTACAAATTATACAAGCCCAAATCCAAAATCAGGTCAATGTAGCGGCGACATTATATTGATATTAGCTGAGCTTCACAATTATTTACCAACAACTCATCCGAATGACGCAATTCAAATTTCATAAATAATACACATACCTGTGTGTTGAACGAATACAACAACAACAACAACCATAACAACTAAACAATACAATTATTTGTTTATTTTCAATTAAAATACTAAGGCAACATTTTTGCATATGTATTACCAATGTATACAAGTCAAGATCGTGGAACACTACATGGTCACGCCGGATTGTATATATACATTGTTACATCAGATTTTGACCTTTTAAAATCCCAAAACAGGAATTCTAAACGTCGCAAAATTCTTTTTATTGCCCGTATCGAAATCGAAAGCGATGTTAGATTTTTTGGAACTACCTATTAGATAACAAAACCGCGACCAGTAACTCAATAGTTAGATACTCACCAAATCAACTGATAGACCGCTTAGATCAGCCAACCAGTTGAATGTTCGACTGCCGCTGTAATTCATATTGTCTGGATCCAACATGTCCGTATTCCGCTTAATTTCGATTACAGTTTTTTTTTCTTTTTTCTTGTGTTTACGATGTTGTGGTCATCTGTGAGATTGTTTTCCCGAACATTGAACACAAGACAGCCTGCGAATGAAGTTATTTTCTATTTGTTATCTGCAAAACAAAGAAGACATATGTAGACGTCGGAAGTGGTTGACAGGGAGCATATACAGATAATGCAAAAAAAAGATGTGACCGAACGAACAAAAGCAGAACAATAATCAGTCCTCAAATTGTTGTAATTTATATTGCGCGTTATTAAGCCGAACGACTACTCAACACTATGTATACAATTTTTTAATTTGTTTTTATTATTTATTTTTTGGAAGGAGACGTAAAATGATCACACTAACAACAAGAGCACTATTGATTGTATAATTAAATCTTCATATATTTTTACCGACGAAATTATTAATCATTATCGTAGGCTTTATAGTCTTTCTCTCCTCCCCTCTATCCTTGTTTTGTTTTTTATTTAGAATAAAAAAATTGTGTGTCTAATCGATTCTCTTTCAAATGTCAAATTATAATGAAATACCAGAGCCACCATTAAATTCTGACGTCGTTATCGTAGTGTGTGGCTCAGTTATTTATGTCAATTTGACATTTTAAGAAGAAGAAAAAGAAGAAATTTTAACTGGCTTTAAAGGTCTAAGTACATAAGAAGATTGAAGTCATGGCTAGGCATTACAATGTTGAAAATATTGAATGAAATATTATTTAAATTTGTACAAATTGTTGAAAAACGCAAATTATAATAACCTCCGAATGACGTCGTATAAAAAACATATAAAAATCTACTTATTTTTGAAAAACATTTAAATATTTTTGACATATCAATGCTCCCAAGTGTTGATGCATCTACCTGTATTCTTCTGCCATGTTACAGAGCCGTGTACTTGCACCTTATGTCATAGGCTGGTTTGTTCGTAAAAGAAAAAAAGGAGTTTTTAATGACATGTTCTCATTGCACTTTCAATTACGTTGTTCGCTCTCAGAATTAGGTACACGAATTAACCCGTTCATACGGCACGATTCGTAATTCATAGAAACATAATTCCTTTTTTCAATTTTTTTCTTTCATTTTTATAGAAATTTGTACGAAAGAACATAAAATTAGCATTAATAATAATAGAAGAAATTATTGTTTTTCCTCCAAAGATTTATTTTGTCTTTCATTAAACAATTTTCATTCATGTTTTGAACTTTTTGTATAAATGTTGACATTTTACATACATTTTTATATTTTTCTTTTTTTAAATCGGTTGAGAGTCATTTGTCAAAAAAAACTTTTTGTCGTTAATTTTTTTTGATTCTTTTGTGGACAAAAAGCATACTTCGGATGAGAGAGAAAACAAACTTTCGTTTAAATGCACATACATACGTATCTTTCATTTCATATATTTTATTTTTTCATTCATTATTTTCAGTTTTCCTGAAAAAATTAAAATTTCAAAAAAATTTTCTATTTTGAATTTTGAAATGTCATAATTTAATTCAATTTCATCGTAGTTCTGAGAGTGATTTGAATAGAAAAAGGAACAAAAATCTTTGTTCGTTCAGAAAAAATGTGTGGGGAATCAAGTAGATAGTTCATAATTAATGGTCGAACGACGAACAGAGAGCGAATCACGTGCCATGTGAACTTAGCATAATTTGGCTTAGTTCAATTTCGGCCTTTTACGAAGAATCAAGCCCATTCCAGTAAAAAATAAGCTGCTTCATAATTCCTGCAGGACACCTAATATCAACCTTTTTATTTTTTTAGCATGTCGCAATAAAAGGGGTAGAATAAAGTTGCAAATTAAATGCATTTCTCCTTCTATTGGTGCCATGTGAACTTAGCATAATTTGGTTTAGTTTAATTTCGGCCATTTACGAAGAATCAAGCCCATTCCAGTAAAAAATAAGCTGCTACATAATTCCTGCAGGACACATAATATCAACCTTATTATTTTTATTTTTAGCATGTCACAATAAAAGGGGTAGAATAAAGCTGCAACTTAAATGCATTTCTCCTTCTATTGGTGCCCCTATTCTGTCAATTCATATAAGTATACAGTGTGTGAATTTTTAATAATTTTTTAATAATTTAAAATAAATTAACCATATGATTGCATGACTTAACCTTCTTAATTCTACCATGGTTAATTCGTAAAATATAAATATTTGTTATAAAATGTAAAAATATCAATGTAATCAAAGGAATAAATAAATAAACATATGCAAGTGTGTGATAACAAAAATTATAAGTCGCATGTAAAATGTTATATCCACGGAATTAAGTATACAGCATTTCATATTGAATTATGTTTTTTATAATGTTGATTTTATTTGTTGATTATCTTTCGTATAGTGCATGGTAGAAAAATACAGGTAGATGCATCAACGCTTGGGAACATTAATATGTGGAAAATTTTTAAATATAAGTAGATTTTTACTTGTTTTCTTATACGACGTCATTTGGAGGTTATTATAATACGCGATTTTCAAACAATTTTTACAAATTTAATTAATTTTTAATTCAGCATTTTCAATCCCAATTTTGGTTTGACAGTTCATTGTCCCAGCAGCTTTGTCGATGCGTCTACCTCATGGTAGAAAAATACAGGTAGATGCATCAACGCTTGGGAGCATTGATATGTCAAAAATTTTTAAATTTCTTTTCAAATATAAGTAGATTTTTATACGTTTTCTAATACCACGTCATTCGGAGGTTATTATAATATGGCTTTTTCAACAATTTTTACAAATTTAAATAATTTTTCATTCAACATTTTCAATTCCAAAATTGGTTTGACAGTTCATTGTCTCAGCAGCTGTGTCGATGCGTCTACCTATATTCTTCTACCATGGTCTACCTATATTCTTCTACCATGGTACAGTGCATAAAATAATATTCTTCTATTTTGCTACCATGGTACAGTGAATGAATAAGAACAGTAGAGTTTTCTGACAGCTAATCTAATAAACAGCTGTGCTAAATATATGTTCTCAAACAGCAATAACAAATTGACACTGGCATTTTTAAATCGTTTAATCTAAAGTCGGTTTATGTATCCCTAAACACGTGGATATTTTTGTTATTACTTAAAAGACCTAAAAGCTGAAAGTAGAATTAATTTGATTTATTTAAATCATTAATTTATTCTAAAAATGGCAATGCTGGCAGAACCCCGTCAGCGAAAACGCTATAACCTGGTACCGAAGGGCAAAGCTTTATATGAAGGTGGGTTGATATCTTTAACCACGGTCTCAGATGAAACAATAAGACTTTTATTTCTTAGATGATTCGCGATTCGGCACTAAGATGTTGGAGAAGATGGGTTGGTCGAAAGGTAAGGGATTGGGAGCTAAGGAAGATGGTTCACAAGATTTTGTAAGAGTACGTTATAAAAATGACAGCCAGGGATTGGGATATGAACAACGTGACGATCAATGGACGCAGCATGAAAGCAGTTTCAATGTTCTATTGAAAAACCTTAATGGCGATGAGACCGTAGACGATATTCCAGTGACTGGTGGAGGCAGTGGAAATAAGTCGTCGTCGGAGGAGGATGAAATAAGCCACGTGGGTTTTGGATTTCAAGCTGACGAAAAACCGAAGCCTAAAAAATCTAAACTGAAAGAAAAAATTAGTGGAATTTCACTGGAAGAAAGGTCGAAACAAAGCAAAGCTCGTGTCCACTACAAAAAGTTCACAAAAGGAAAAGATCTCTCACAATACAGTGAAAAAGATTTGGCTAATATTTTTGGCAAAAAAGCGGACGATGAGCAGCAGGCTTTGTATGCTCAGATGAATGATCAATTCAATGGAGCAGATCAAAATGAAGGAAAAGCTGCAAATGAAATGGAAAGTTTTGCTGGAGTGCAAACTATTAGTACAGGATTATCAGTTTCGGATTATTTTAAAATGAAAATGGCTTCATTAAAAAATAAGTCCGGTCGTACAAACGGTCATCGAAATGAAGATAAGGAAGACGAAGAAATAGCTAACAATACTATGAACGATCATGATACTTCGACGAAAAAGAAGAAGACGAAAAAAAGGGACAAAACTGTGGAATGCGAGCAAAGCGAACTTCAGGTTGAAATGGAAAAGCTGATACCAGCATCGGACCCAGACACGGAAAATAAATGCGAAAGTAAAAAGCACAAAGAAAATAGTAAACAATTGAATGAAGACAAAACTGAAGTTGCGAAGAACGAAATAAGCAACAGCACATCAATGAGGAAAATTAATAAGAAAAAGGATGAAACATTGGAAAATAAGGAGAAAACTCCAGTAACAAGCGCAAAATATTCGGAGATCGAAGATAACCAGTCCCATGTAAAGATAGCTTCAAAGAAAAGAAAACATGAAGACACCACTACCGATGTTTTAGAATCGACACAAAAAAGTAAAACTGTTAACGGAGAGGTGAAGCGAAAAAAAGATATCAGTGAAGATAAAACATCTTCCGATGTAAACGCTTCAAATCCAGAATCAAAGTCATTGTCTGAAATCGGGAGAGATGTTGAAGAAAAGCGAGAAGACAAACGTACCTCAGGTAAAAGAACTCGTGATTTTTGTGAACAAAATCTTAATCTGGAAACCATTGCTCTATTATCGTTGACCGAACTGGAGGAGAAACTGAAAAGCTTCAATGTCTTTAAGATGTCCACATTTGCGGCTGAAAAGTTTAGAAACGTTGATCTGAACTATTTCCCAAACTCAACTCTACCACAGGTCGAGGGCTACGGTTTCAACCAAAACATTGAATTGATTGTAGAAAACAACAAAAAAGACGCGCGGCGCATCAATAACCTATGGAGTGACACCCTGTGTAAATATGCAAATTTGGAGAAACCTATAAAAACATACCGCAGTTACGTCAAGGATTGCATAAAAGCCCGCAAATTTAAACAACCTAAACCCAAATTAAAAGTTAAGAAGTGGAAAAGAAAAGATGCCTTCTCCCTTGTATGAAATAAGCGTCACAATAAATAATCTAGGTACATTTTTTATGAAGTGTATTGGAATTTTAATTCATTTGTAAAACAATATCCGTTAACTAAGCCATTTCAGAATATATATGTTAAATATGACTAAGAATTACAAACTAATACATGAACTCGAGCAATGTCATCATAGCCGATAGAGATTGTAAGATAATTCAATGTTACATTTTGAAGCGATTTCAATTAAGAGTGAACATTATCGCATAAAATAGATGCAATTACAAAACTATCTTAAGAGCAATATTTACACAGTGTATATTAACATATACATATAGTGGCGTTCCTTAGAAGTCAACTTCATCATCATCATCTTCGCCTTCATCATCCATTTCCCCTTTGCGGTGGGCTATCCGACGGGACCTTCGCAAAGGCCGTTGTACATTATCGGTTGTTTGTCTAATATTGGGGTTATTTTTGTACATGATCAGATTTACGTGCGCATCAAACTGTAAGAGACGAGAGCATATGTTACCAGCATAAAATGTTACCTCCTCCTTAGCTTCCTTACCGATGATGAAACAATTTCTCCGCGTGTCGGATGCCAGTCCAAGTCACGTATAACGTTTCTGTGGCTCTCGACTGCCTCCTTTATTTGTCCGGTGAGGACGTCATAGACTGAAAATGAAGAAATGTGTGATTGTGAGTAACATACTGACTACTATATATGCTATATGACGTAGGGTACCTCTGATTTGATCAAGAAAATGCTGGCAACATTACATTTACTTACTTATAATCCTTCCTGTGCTGCATCCTGTGTAAATATACCGTTGGCCCGTTTGCACTGCCGGGGAGAATTTTGCCCTTAGCAAGGTTTTCGTTACTTTATGTCCACGATAAGTCATCACACTTACATCGCCATCCAGTGGCTTTGTTGGATTGTAGTCTGCGAACAATTGAATTTTGTGAATGTGTCGATTCTGCAGGCACAATGCAATACTTACATTCCCGGGGCACTTGGCTAAAGCGATAGTCCCACTCTACTAATGGGGTACTAGGATGTTTCCGTATTTTATTCGATGGTGTTGGTTGGCGCAGATCCCATATTTTTATGCTTTGGTCCCTCGAATTGCTCATAACATAGTTTCCATCGTTTCTGGGATCTATGTATGTTATGCCATCAAAATGACCTAAGAATATGCTTTGGCACTTTGCTGGCCGGTGGTCGTAACCACCGCAACATCGTAGGTCCCATAACTTTATAATGCCATTATGACAACCACTGACGATTAGATTTGGATCCTGGTCGCAAACATAGCTTACGGCGTTAATGTCCACAGGGAAGGATGGTTGTGTGCGCAGAGCTCGAATTTGGCTAGACTCGCGGTCGCATATGTAAATATTCGAGTCATTGCAGCCACCAATTAGGGTTCGGCCGTTATCGCAAGGTGAAAACCGAACTGAGAACATTCCGGCACCATTTCTTTCCACACCTAGGGCATAGTTTTGACAATCGTTACCTCCATCACTGTCGATAGGAACAACAAGAACTAGAATCGGAGAAACGCCTTATTAAACACGTCATTTGAATAAAATATAAAAATACCCAGCTACTTACATGAATCCGTCCACGTTGAATAGGCGAAGAACCTACCACACGGACTGAAGTCCACGTCCAAAATATCCCAATTAACGTCCCGTACTTTAAGACGCTTTATGCGGTGATACGTCCCCCTAGAGGAGTCAAAAATGCGCACTGTGGCATCTTGGGAGGCAGTGATCAAACGGCTTCCATCCGCATTAAACTTACAAACGTATATTTTTGAATCCAGCGACATTAGTCGATCCACTTTCTTATTGGGTACAAAAAAGTTCGCTATGCGACGATGCTGGCTGGGTGTAAACGAGCCGCTTGGAAATCCGGTCAGCCCATTCTCACGTTTCATCAAACCACGCGTCAGACTCCATCTTCCATTGGGTCTTTTGCTGTTTGCCGGAAGGCCACTCAACGCCTTTATTTCCTTGTACATCATGGTGTGCTAAATATAATGAAGGGACTGGTTAAAGCTCTACACACATACCACAGTTCTCCATCATGTTACGTACTCGGAATACTCTCAAGTCTGGTTTTTTCCTAATTACTGGAGGCATTGTGTTTGTTTCTTGATTGACAATTTCTTGAAGCATCGACTCCAAGGCCAAATTTAGATATTCTCCTTCGCCCCTGCCGCTGATTGTGCTGTCATCGCTTAGATATTCATCTTCGTCCTCAATTTCGTATGTTATATTATTACCCATCGAGCTTCTCCTTATCTTGCTCCTATCCCAAGCTCCAAATTGGATTCCGAATTAATAAGTCCGTTCATAAAACCTTTTGTCTGGTGTCATGTATTTACGAAATTCCTTGTTTTTATTGTTTGATCTGCTTCTTACCCCAAAGCTATCCACCTGGGTGTAATAGCAAGTTCTACTAAATCGATCTTTAAATCCCTATTTACATACCTGAAAGTGCTACGGCCCGTTTGCACATCAAAGGCCAGTTTACACATGATGTTATAGGACATCTATCATGGTAGAAGAATACAGGTAGTCGCATCGACACATCTGCTGGGACAATGAACTGTCAAACCGATTTTGGAATTGAAAATTTTGATTGAAAAATTATTAAAATTTGTAAAAATAGTTGAAAAATTCATATTATAAGAACCTCTGATTTGCGTCGTATAAAAAAATCCACTTATTTTTCATAAAACACTTTAGAAATTTTGACATATCAATGTTCCCAAGCGTTGATGCATCTACCTATATTCTTCTACCATGGCATCTATGCTACTGAACATGGTAGAAGAATATAGGTAGACGCGTCGAACCAGCTGTTGGGATAATGAACTGTCAACCAATTTTGGAATTGAAAATGTTGAACGAAAAATTATTATTATTTTTGAAAAACGCGAATTTTAATAGCCTACGACTGACGTATTATAAGGAAACATATAAAAATCTGCTTATATTTGAAAAAAAAAAACATATAATTTTTTGACATATCAATGCTCTTAAGCGTTGATGCATCTACCTGTATTCTTCTGCCATGCTACTGAAGATTAACCAACTGGGTTTATTAGATCCGGTGAGCTAATTCTGGTGTTTAGATATACCGTTAGATGATATAAGTGCTGATCGACTGTTGTTTACGTAAATATAAACAAATGAAAGAGAGTCCAACAAAAATGATGTATCAAAAACCTGAGTCAATTGATGTTGAAAAAATAAGTGTTTATCTACATGGGGGACCTTCTGCAAGGAAAATAATGCATCTTCCAATGCATTATTGTGGGCAAATAAAAATGTTTATGTTTGAATTCAAAATTAAACAAACGCCTTGGCGGAAACATTTGCGACTTTGGAGTGTACCGCAGTACCAATGGATGTACACAGTGATGTTTTACGACAGTATGTAGATTCTGCACCGGATTTAAATAAATCTGGATTGTGCAATAAGCCTGATATTGTCGGTTACTCCATCTAAAATTTTGTATCTCAACGTGCTGTTGAGCCATGTATATACATAACAGTTTTGTAGTACACTTTTAAACGCTTACAAACATTTTCTTGTACAACAAACGCAACAACCAAAGACCTAAAATAGTAAAGACTAGACAAATTGCATTCTGAGCAAATGGTGTCCGTCCGTTTGTCCGTCTCTCGTCACTCTAGCTTCCGAACGAAATGAAGTAGATTGATAAAATTATACTCAAATGTATATTATGTCTGCAGGACTTTTGATATTGAAAATGGGCCATGTAGGTCCACGTTTTGGTATAGCCCCCATATAACGGTACCACATGATATTCGGTACTTTGTTGATTTTAGCGACATTATCAACCGGAATTGTTTCAAATTTGGTATTTGAAGTTCGTAATGAATACTACAGCCTGTTACTGAAAATTGTCTGTGCAGGTCCACGTCTTCTTATAGCCTCCATATAACGGTACCACCCTATATTTGGTATTTTGATGATTTTAGCGGCATTATTAATCGGAATTGTTTATAATTTGGTATAAAAAAGTTTTAATGCTTTAGAAAATTGTCTGTGCAGTTCCACATTTTGGTATAGCCCCCATATAATAGTTCCTAGTTGTTTTGTGTGTTTGTTTGTGCAATGCCACCAGATTACTTAATTTACGGATTGTGAATACTTTTTTCATACCCTCAGCAGTATGGCTTTTTGGGCCAAATCTGTTTCAGGGCATTTGGATTCTGTCCGTCCATCTATCTGTCTGTCTGTGTGGCAGGAGCGCAGGATAACGCTCAAATGGAGTATCTGATTCGGTCCAAACTTGGAACATCGCAATATAATTGTCGAGTTCGGAAATGGGCAATATTGGCTAACATATTCTGGTACCTTCTCTACAATGGGTCAACATTTTGAATAGCCCTTAAGTTCATAAAACGCGAGTTGAGCACCCGATTCCTTTCAAATTCGCCAAACCCACAAATTTCTGTGAACACAAGAAGGTAGATATTGGCCCACTCATTCTTGTATCTCCCCCACAGAGGGCCAACCTTTTGAATAATCAAAACGATCGTAAGATGCGAATTTAGCATCAATTTCACACATCCCAATATTTCCACTAACACAAGATCTGATGTGAATATTGAATATATCGGTTCTCTCCTTCTGTTACCGTCCGACAAAAGGTCAAAATTTTGAATAATTATAATTTTCATAACATTGTGTATCTCAATCAAACATCTTGTATCTCAATATTTCTGTTCACCATAGTCTGTTAGTCGAATGTTTAACAATTATTTCTATAGAATTGAAAATAAGCCTTGGATTTTTTCTAAATCTTCCACATCCCAATATTTTTATCAGTATTAGATGAAGTGGAATACTTCGATCAACTGTATCTGGTACAAGGGAGCACAATTGAATATTTTCCAAAAATCGTCGTATATCTCATAAAAAGTACAGGGTGTAGCCGATGTAGGCCATATCTGGCACCTTGTGATATTTTTAAATACGAAATGGACAATATTGGCCCTCAACGTCCCCTATAAAGCATTAAAAGCTTCAACAAAAATAATGCAAGTCAATATAATGGCAGAGAGTATAAATCTGTCGGCAAATCCGAGTGATACAACTTAACTTGATTTTGTCTTAACATGGAAAGATGACTTCCTGGTTATCTCCTCCGTCTACGTTGTATTCTTCTCAAACGCCACTTTCGTTATATTCGATCTGGAACGGATACGGAAATTATGATGATATGAGAATCGTATAAAATTAAATTTAGCAACTATGAAACATTCGCAGCGAAAGATTGGGGCAAGTACAAGCTGTTCATTGCTCGCCTCCGGAAAAAGAAATTGAATTGTGGGTGTTAACCAAAGCTGTGGGATGCTACTGATGACGGCCCACAATGTGGACGATGGTGTTGTTATTCCACCACAAGGATAACGTTTTTTTCGTCGCAATGTCCTGCCTGAGGAAACCAATAAAATATGGTGTCTGTTTTTTATTTGGGCCGTGTTTTGTGAATGCGTACAAGTCGTGGTAGTTGTTCTTTTTTTTTTGCAATGTCACCAGATTACGGATTTTGGATGTTCGTTTATTTTATGACATTATTATGTTGCACTCAAGTGTGCGTTTGCGTTTTTTGTGTGGGTGGACTACGTTAAATCGTCAGGGTTCAGGGTTGCCACAAATGTCGCAAGCTTCTAAAGGCCGAGAAGACGTGATATGTCCATGCATGGTACAAAAATCAAGATAGGGCTATGAGACCATATGTTTTATTTTTTTTCTTGGCTTAATATGTCAACTTTATTTGTTTCTGTCTTCTTTTCAAAAAAAAATTGTTCAGAAAATATTCAAATTCGGGTGCTTTTTTGCTTTTTGCAACATATGCATCGACAAAATCTACAGTTTTTGTAGCGAAATAAACCTTTAGAGACACATAGAATATGATTTTGAAAAGAAATTTGGACATTTCATAAAGTTTTCGCGGTTTTCAATTATTTATTGAAAATATTGTTTGGTTTTTGATTGTTTTGAAAGTATTTCTGACATTACAAGCCAAAGAGGTAGACCTCTATACTTTCCATTTTTTCAAAGTTAGCCTAACTTTCCTAAATTGTACCATGGATTTATGGGTACTTAAGATCACTTCCCGTCTTGATTTTCTGAACATAAACCCAAGTGAAATTAGGGTTTGACCTAAAACCCAAATGTCTTGCACAATGAGCATACACCTTTTATGCGCACCCGATGTCACTATCAACCTTTTTTAATTATTTATTTATTTCTTCCTGCACAACAAGATTAATATCTTATAAATTACAGTACAGGCGACAAATATTATCAACATTTCCAACTTAGACTGAAGCAATAAAATACATAATTTGATCAGGAAAATTACAAATATTGTTTAGTTAATATTAACAATTTGGCCAATGTATGCAAAAGGAGAAAATTTAATATTTATGTTAAGTGCTTGTTTCCATATTTTGAAAAAAGAATTTAAGCCTATTTTTAAAGATATACACGTTGCTGATGCTTTGTATGTCAGATGGAAGAGTATTCCAGAGACGAACTTTCCCAATAAAGAACTGGCATTCGGAAACCCAGATTTTCCTTCTAAAAGGCATAATCTTTTTACCTCTATTGGATCTGTTAAATGTTATTCTATTGAAGAGATATGCTGGATTTTGTTTAACAATAATCTGGTGTAGAAGTGTTAAAGCTTTTGTTTGAAGGAGGTTTCTAAAACTAATGCCATATAAAGAGCAAGAGCAACCTTCTGAAAAAAACATCCATTTATAACAACACAATAAAAAAACACACAAAATACCATAATTATAAATTGTAATATAATCTAATAAATCGCGAGAGAAATAGGGATATTTCTAACACGGCGACTTGAGACAACATTTTAGAGTATTTATGTTAATTTCAATGAAGACCAATTTGAAAAGCTAAATTACAAAAATGCAAAAAATACAAATTATTAATTGTACCACGATGCCACCCGTCTTGAGTAAACATTAAATATGGGTTTCAAATGTAGAAACTATTGTCATTTCCGCTATTTGCTAATGAGACTTATAGTAGGTTTACGTTATAAAGGACTTAGAAAACCAAGTTCAAGTTGGCAATTCCATTACATACACGGTGAGATGAAAGCAAAAAAATGTCGGAGATAGCATCAAATTTTAGAATAAGTTTAGATTTGTTCGAATTGGTCACGAATTATGGCCTTCAAACGGTCAATGAAACCGTCACACGTTGCTCGAATGTTGCTCTGCGGTATTTTGGTTTTTTTCCGGCGAAGCGCTTGCTTGAGGTTATCGACACTTTGGTATTTTTAGTGCCAACCTTGCTTTTCAAAATACTCCAAACACAATAGTCCAACGGATTCGTATACGAAGATTTTGGTGGCCATTGTTACCAT